AAGAGGAGGAAGAGGAAGAAAACTATGAGTCTCTTCCACAGATATCTATAACAGATGCTTTGGAGAGTCTATATAAACTCCGGCTTTTCGAGGAGCAGCAGGTGGATGGAAATAAGGCCTTAATCCAGCAACTTCTCTTCCATGAGAGGACCCTTTTGAGAAAGAAGGTTAGCAGACAGCAGCAGAGTGATATACGAGACTTCTTTTGTAATTAGATGACGTCTATATATATATTTATGGCAGCAAGCTCGTATAATCCGATATAAGCAATACTCCGTTATAAGCAATTTCCGCGACCTGCCGAAATAGTTGCTTATAACGGGGTTTTACAGTATTGAAGCGATTCAGAAAGACCAAATTGCTTCTGTGTGTGAAGCAACACACTGATTTAGTATGCCCAAGGCTACAATCCACCACTGTCTAGCTGGTCATACCAATTGCCATGATACATGCATAAACAATCACAAATTGACTGAAACTGAGGAATATGTGCTTCTTCAATGGATTTTGTCAATGGATTCACGTGGCGCAGCGCCTATGGTCGACGACCTATATTGCAACCTGGTAGCCATCTTACACCTCAATTCAACCAAATCTGCGAGCAAAACAAGATTATACCAATCTGTATGCCAGTGCATGTGTCTCATTTATTACAGCCACTAGATGTAGGCTGTTTTGCAGTTTCAAAACGCGCCTATGGGCTATTTGGTTGATAAGCAAATGCGCTGCGGATTCAACCATATTGACAAGCTTGATTTCCTTGCTGCCTACCCAAGCGCGCATGCTGAGGCCTATAAACCAGCTACTATCCAAAATAGCTTTGCTACTACTGGTATAGTGCCATATAGCCCTGATCGGGTGCTCTCGAAGCTGAATATTCAGCTAAAAACACCTACCCCCCCAGGTAGCCAGGCAGGCAGCCAAACCAGCAATTCTAGCTTAAAAACACCACAAAACCAGCGCCGATTATACCAACAAGCATCTTCCATCAAAGCTCTATACAATCGAAACAGCAATAGCCCCCCAGGCAGGGCGCTAAACCAGCTGGTCAAGGGTTCCCAGCTAGCTATGCAGGCCAGTGCGATACTAGCACAGGAAAACAAGGATCTACGCGCGGCGAATGAGAAAAAGAAGCAAAAGTGAGTTAGATCTAAGAGACAGATCACTTACCAGGGTGGTTTATCAGTGGAAGACACTCAGCAGGTGATTCACGGCCTAAACCAGACTCCCAAAGTTGAGATGTGTGGTCAGGTGCGTCGCTCGCTTACCGACCACGTTAAAATCCTTGATATTAGACATTAGTTATCATAATTTATAACCTCTTAACATGGCTGCACAATAACTAGAATTACCTACTAATTTCTTAGTCTCTTAATCAGTTCTCTTTTCATCCCCTGTTCTCTCTTAATATTTACTAATTATTCTCTTTAATAGAGGCTATAAACATTTACTTAATATTATTTTATTGATGGCTTCCCCCTTTTGTCTTAATATATAACTATAACTGTCAGTCTCTTTATACTGCCTGAGATCTAACATCCAGTCTATCTTATACTACTTAAAAATAACTCCTACTTCTATAAGTAAATTTTTTTTTCTCTTGTTGTAATGTTCTTAAAAAGGCCTTTAAAGCAGATCAAGATCTTAAATATTCTAGCCCCTTTATATTATAAGAGAAAGAAACTTAACAAGTCACAGGCTTAAGGAATAAACATACAGAGTTAACTAATCTAATTAATATTATCTAAGAGGATACTCTATAAAGGCTTAGTATTATACTTTTGAATTCTATAGATTCATGCTTTAAGTTCATATTCTTGAAGAAAAGCAAAGGCAAAAAAAAAAAAAAAAATCATTTAAATTGATAAATTAAAGAAGTTATCTTATAACGTAATCTATCACCGAGCTGGTCAGCTGGCCACATCCGTGACCACCTGCTATTCATACTTGCAATTTATCCACAACCACAACCATGGCTGATAATTCAAAAGAAGGTCGCATGAAACTAGCTCTAGAAGCCTTTAAAAAAGGTCTTTTTTCATCAAAAAATGCAGCAGCAAAGGCATATGATGTGCCTCTCTACCTTTAAGACCCGGGTCAAAGGAACCACATGCCGCAAGGAATCAGTTGCCAACCACCGAAAATTGACACCTACTGAAGAAAAGACACTCTCATCATGGATTATTGATATGGGACAGCATGGCCTGCCTCTACAAATCTCTACTGTATGCTCTTTGGCACAGTTGTTACTGTCTTGCATGGCTATCCTCCCAGACTGCCTATGTGGGCGAGTGTTGGGTGACCTGGTATATTTGATGCTATGATGAACTCTCCTCTGAATACAGCTGAAAATATGACTACCAGCATGCCAAATGTGAAGATCCAGAGCTTATTATGGGGTGGTATAAGTGCTTCCATGATGCTATTGAAACATATGGAATTCTGAGCAAGATATCTACAATATGGATGAAACTGGATTTCAGATGGGCATGACATCCACAGCCAAAGTTATATGTGGCTCAGAGACTTGGGCAAGCAATGCCAAAGCCTTGCAGCCTGGGAATCATGAATGGGTAACTGCTATTATTGTAGTAAATACAACTGGATGGGCTTTGCCTCCCCAGATTATTCTGGCTGCAGACAACCACCAATCTCAATGGTATCATGCTATCCCAAATGATTTTATAATCAGTGTCAGCAAGAATGGCTGGACAAATGATGGATTAGGCCTGGAGTGGCTTCAAACTGTCTTTGAGCCACATACAGCCTCCCGTACACTAGGAAGATATCACATGCTGATTTTGGATGGCCATAGCAGCCATGCCACTGCAGAATTCAACAGATTCTGTACAGAAAGGAATATTGTTCCTTTATATATGCCTCCACATTCATCTCATCTGAGTCATCTCCTTCAACCATTGGATGTTGGTTGCTTTTCGCCATTGAAGTGCTTATATGGTCAAAGAATCACCAATAAGGTGCAGAAGGGAATCAACACTGTTGAAAACAGAATTCCTCTATATATACCTTACTGTCCATTACCAGATTCTATCATCATCAAATATTCAAAGCAGCTTTGCAGCAACTGGCCTGGTTCCATTCTTACCTGACCAAGTCCTATTGAAGCTTCATATACCATTTAAAACACCAACACCACCTTCATCATCACATAGCAACCAATCCTTTGGTGCAGGCAAGACTCCAGCAGATATAAACCAGCTTGGGGCCCAAAAGAAGCGACTATATCACCTCCAAAATCATCAGATATCCCCATCAATTATGGAAGAGGCAATGGGAAAGGTCATTAGAGGGGCAGTGATGACCATGCAAAATGCCATCCTACTGCAGCATGAAGTCCACCAGTTTTGCATGGAAAATAAGTATCAAAAGCAGAGAGGAGCGCTCCTAGGGCCTTTATACAGGCTGGAGGGAGCCTGACAGTGCTCAAGAATTGCAAAAAGCGCAAGAACAGGAGGCTATAGTGGAGGAAGCATGCTGACCAGTTTCCAGGCTGCGTAGGCCACCAACCTGCAGCATATATAGTAAAACAGGCCATAATCGGCTTAAATGCCACATTAGTACTAATAATAACGTAATCCACAAGCCAGCGACGCACCCCCGTATTCCATATAAAATGGCACTTTTTATACCTTCAATAACTCAACCACCAAGTATATAGAAGGCTGGAAATTGAAAGTATAGTATATTTCAGTGGTATATTTATACATAGTATACCAATAACAGCATAAATTCTATATCTTCTCAATGTAAAATAAATTACGACTGTATTTTTTGTATTCATAATAATTCTGGTATTGAAGGTATAAAAAGTGCCATTTTATATGGAATACGAGGGTGCGTCACTCGCCTGTGGATTACATTAAGAGCAGTAATTAATACTATTCTCATGATTACAAATATAAATTTTAATAATAATAAAAAAAAACTAGTTAACCTCTAAATAAATAATAATAATAGAGGGATTATTCATATATTATTATAGAGACCAAGATTAAGATTATACAGAAGTAACATAATCGGTAAGCGAGCTGGACATCAATGTATTCCATACTAAATCGCCATTTTTAGAACTGCAATATTCACCGCTTTTAAATATGGAGGCCTGTAAGTAGTATGATATACTTAGAGACAGGTCTACAGCATATGTTTTTCATTTTCTAGGATTTTTTTTTAATTTTATTCGCTATATTCGAATATACATATAATTACAGCGTAATTTATATTACCTGGCCACACAGACATTCCAACAACCTGATCACTTATTATGTGTTATAAATATATACTATAATGCTTTATTTGAAATCTCAGTTCAAGTAAAAGCTTTGTTGTTGAGATATTGAAGTCTCAAAAGGGCAATTTAGTACGGAATACATTGTGTCCAGCTCGCTTACCGATTACGTTATATAAGGGGCATTGATTTTTTAGAAAGTAAATAATAGTAAGTTAAAAGTAGTAAGAGAATATATGTTTATAGATGACTTCATGAGTTTTGTGTTAACATTCTGGGTATTATTAATATAGTATAAGTAAGCTGGACAAACGATAATTTGGGATTTGAATGGCTTCAGGGGATGTTTGAGAAGCATACTGCCTCTCAAACTGTTGGCAGATATGATATCGCCTTTTGATCCTTGATGGTCATAGTAGTCATGCAACTGCTAGTTTTGATCATTTCTGCACTGAGGAAGATTATCCCTTTATATATGCCTCATTCATTTAATCTACTTCAGCCACTTGATATAAGCTGTTTTGTGCCAATAAAGCATTATATTATTATGACCAAAAAGTCAGAGGGATGGCATAAAATGGTGTTCATGCTATTGACTAATGGGAATTTCTATCTATCTACACCAAAATCCATGCTCGTGCATTCTCAAAGGCCAATTGGGCGGATTTGCAGCTGCTGGTCTTATTCCTTTTAAACCAGAGAGATTGCTTGCAAAACTCCATATCAAAATGAAGACACCAACACCACCTTCCTCTTCAAGCAGAAATCAATCCTTTTATTTAGGAAGGACACCAGCCAATCTTTATCAGTTAAATCAGCAGAAAAGGCAGATCCTTTATAGATTAAAATCTACTAGATAGTAATATATTTAATGAATTTGACTTGCTTTAAAAGGAATTTATAGATATAGATAGTATGGATGCGCCGCCGCCGCCGCGCAATTCAGTGATAGATTACGTTATTAGAGTACTGCACTAACGTAATCGACTACCGAGCTGGCCTGCTAAAATACCCATACAATATGCCATATTTTTAAACGTTTCATTATATCTTACGATTCATTAACTATCCCAGTTTTTGACATTAAAAGCAGATTATATGTAAATACAACTACCAGTAAGTTAATTTTGAAATAAATTATATCTATACTGTCTTTTAATACCTATCTTTTGTTCTTACCTCAACATTAAATTGTAATTTATACTATTATGATAACTAGCTTAATAAATGACTTAAAATTGGTGATATTTATTAGTGACCTTTATAATTTCAAATCATCCATTCTGTGTCTACAAAGAATGTTGAGGTATGATGGTTCAAAATATGGCATTTTCTATGGGTATTCTAGCTGGCCAGCTCGGTGGTTGATTAAAGAAACCTTTAATTTGACTTAGAAAGACTGTAATAAAAATAGTAAAAATATTAATATTAATAAATATCCTATAATAGGGCCCTGTAAATGAGCTATTTAGACCTACCTTATAGTTTAATAGAGTAAAAGTTTTTTATAGAATATTATTAGCTAATCATTATAGAGTAAATGCTTAATATTATAGATATACAAAATGCTCTTTATTATAGTCTTTCTCTTTTCTTTACTTTAATATTCTCTTAATATTCTTTCTTAATTAGTTTTCATGAAATTTACATGTCCTTTCTTTTTTTCTATTTAATCATTAAAATATTAGTATTAAAGAGGGACTAAAGTTTACAGTTTTCTGGATCAATTCTATCCCATCTTTCAAGAATATAATTAAACTTGCTATTCAGGGGATACTAGGCCTGTCAATATAAGGGATCAATAGATCAATTTTAAGTGTTTCAGACATCACCTGAATCAGTTGAAGGATTTTAGCACTAGTGATGAAGTCTTAAACATTCTTAAGAAGCTTATTGTCACGGAGCTCAGCCAGGATAATGGAACATCAACTCATGTGCTCTACCTAGGTAGCTATCGACGAGAATAATCAACATGAGGAAAGAAGAAGAATGATGTGCCATCAGCATTGATGAGACTTATATCCCTTGCTTCCAGCACGTGAGAGGTATACACATGACCAGACCGTCACACTTATAGAGCATCTCATCTCTTTAATTCCATTATATATAGTTTTTCAGTTTTTAGTTTTATATTTAAGATCATTATCTTATTAGAGGATATTTTGTAGCAGTCAGGATCAAATTTATATATAAAAGATTTAACTAAAAATAGTTTTAATGAGATCTAATGAGTTTCTGGCAGCTGATATGATGTCATTGTTATTAGATTCGCTAAGTATAGTGACTTAATATTTAATATTCTCTTTATTTATTATTTGAGTAATTATTAAGGCAGACACTTGAGCTGCTAATATTTTTAAACCAGCTGATTCTTGTAAGCTTTATCACATTTCTCTTATTTAATATCCTCCAGGGTTAGGTATTTATAGCAGTTGGTTAAGGACTTACTGAGGCTCTTAGTAACCTATACTGCAGTCATAACCTCTATCAGTGCAGCTTGCAATTAGCCATCAGAGAGTCAGGCAATTACTTTACAGTCTTAGAGATGTTGGGAGCCATACTTTGAGCTAACACTGAGACTCTTAATCTGTTAGTGTCTGCCCTGAGAGGCTTATCTAGCCCTAAAAGGCATCTCCACTGGAAACATGTTTGACTCTTAATTATTCCTTTAAAGTGATTAGAGAACAGTAGATATTATAGTACTGTGTATTAAGGCTGCTTAACCCAGTACCAAGACACCAAGAATGTGAGAAGGTGCTTACCATAAGTGATAAAAATTAGCCTATTTAGGGAGTGATCAGCCTCTTGACAGGTGTGATGGCTCAGTCTATTGAAGAGGTAGAAGTCATCTATTCAATAGATAGCTATATATAAGAATAACTGACATGGGGAAGAAAGAAAGGAAGAATGATGGAATGAAAGATTATCATTTAGTAACAGTTGCTTCATCTGGCACTAAGCCCCATTGGGTAGGTAGTTTATTATCCTAAAACTGAGACCCTCACTGGAATTTCAAAACTGCAGAATCCAGAGGGATTTTAAAAAGTAATTAGAGTGTAGAAACTCTAAATGCTGTAATAGTCCTAGATCCTAATCTAGGAGATTCCACACTTCTAGAACTACTTGATTCTAATTAGCATTTAAAAGAGAGATAGAGGCCCTGTTAATCATATTAATCTGTTTAAAGCAGCATGAGCTATTACTGTAGAAGAGGATGGTTTAGATATAATAGTTTAGATTATTTCCGCTGAAAAGTACTATACACTGATTTTGAAGCCTTTCTCCCCACAAAATTGGTATATATTATCTATAAAGACAATAGACTATTTCTGAGGGCATTTAAGCCGATTATGGCCTGTTATACCACATGTACTGCAGGTTGGTGGTCTGCACAGTCTGGAAACTGGTCGGCGTGCTTCCTCCACTATAGCCTCCTGTTCTTGCGCTTTTTGCAATCCTTGAGCACTGTCAGGCTCCCTCCAGCCTGTATAAAGGCCCTAGGAGCGCTCCTCTCTGCCTTTGATACTTATTTTCCATGCAAAACTGGTGGACTTCATGCTGTAGTAGGATGGCATTTTGCATGGTCATCACTGCCCCTCTAATGACCTTTCAACCATGGTCAGAAACACATGCTAATGGCCATAAATTAACAATTTTGAAGAAGTCCTAGCTAAGCATCTGCTAGATGCAGATAAATGAGGGGTTTTCAATTCAACCTGAGTTTCTGCATGGAATGGCACAAATCTTACTTTCTGAGTGTACATGGGATCCTTCAACTATTGGAGTCAACTGGGGATACAACTTTGTTCAATGCCATCCAGAGCTTCATACTTGCAAGATACAATTGGAGAATTACACACCAGTGTGCAAAACAGGAGGATCCAAAGGTTATAAAACAGTGGTTTGAAGTTGTGCAGGGCACTATCCAGGGGAATCATGAATGGGTCACAATCATTGGATTTGTGAGCACAAAAGGGATTCATATACCTCCAGCAGTTATCTTAAAAGGGAAAGAACACCAGGCTGCATGGTATCAAGAGTCTAATCTTCATCCAGATTGGAAGCTTACCAACAGTGCCAATGGCTGGACAACAGATAAGATAGGCCTTGCATGGTTGGAGTGTCTATTTGAC